TGGACTGTAGCACACCAGGCTTCCCTGTCTGTCACCAGCCAGAGCTTGCTCAAACGCATGTCCATCGAGTTGGTGATGCCATCCAAGCATCGCATCCTCTGTCATCCCCTTCTCCGCCTGCCTTCAGTCTTTCCCAGCATCAGGGTCTTTTCTAATGAGTCAGTTCTTCACATCAGGTGGCCAAAGTATTGGAGGTAACATGAGGTCTGTGTATATATGTGATTATTTCATGTTGCCGATACCTTAATTTTAAATGCATTTAAATAAACTTGCATTTGTACTCTCATCTTGCAATTACTGTTTTCAATATCACATTTTTACATTTGATTGTTTTGTGTATCTCTTAACTGCTCTTTGTTGATGCAGATGATTTTACTTTTGTCTTTTAACCTTCCCAGTTACTTAGTGTATGGATGAGTTCCTACCTTTAATGTATGTTTGCCTTTGCCAATGAGGTTGTTTTGTAATTTTCTTATTTCTAGTTGTAGCCTTTTATTTTTTTTTGTCTAGAAAAGTTCCTGTACCATTTGTTGTAAAACTGGTTTGATTGTGCTGATTTCTTTTCATTTTTACTTGTCTGTAAACCCTTTGATTTCACCATCAAATCTGAATGAAAGTCTTGCTTGGTAGCATACTCTTAGTTTTAGCTTTTTCCTTTTTATCACATTAAATATAAGGTGCCAATTTTTTCCTGGCCTGAAGAGTTTCTGCTGAAAAATCAGCTGATAGCCTTATGGGAGTGCTCTTATATTAGTTGATTTTTTTCCTCTTGCTGTTTTTACTGTTTTCTCTTCATGTTCATTTTTTCCATTTTGATTATAATATGTCTTGGTTTCTTCCTTTTTGGGTTAATCCTGTATGATAGTCTCTGTGCTTCAGTGTTTCATTCTTCAGCTTTCAGAAGTTTTCAGCTATTATTTTTTTCAAACATTTTGTCAGGCTTTTTCTCTCTGTGATCTTCTGGGACCCCTGTAATGTGAATATTAGTGTTCTTGGTATTGCCCCAGAGATCTTTTAAACTGTCCTCATTTCTTTTCACTCTTTTTTTCTTTCTGGTCATCACCAGTGAGTTCCCCTACTCTCTTCCAGCTCACTGATCAATTCCTCTGTAACATTTTAATCTGCTATAAATTCCTTTAATGTAATTTCATTTCTGTTATTATATTCATCTCTGGTTATTCTTTCTTTCTTTATATTTTACCTCTTTGTTAAGAACTTTTAACTTCTTGCTCTGTGCATCTGTTGTCCTCCTCAGTTCTTTGGTCACGTTATAGTCATTCCTCTGCCCTCTTTCTTGGGTGGGTTGTCTATTTCTACTTCACTTAGTTCTTTTGAAATTTTATCTTGTTCCTTCTACTGGAATGTATTTTTTTGCTGCTTCATTAAAAAAAAAATCTCAATTGCTGTTTGTGTTTTTATGTATGTGGTAGGTTAGTTACATTTCTCAACTTTGGAGAAGTGGTCTTCTGTAGGAGATGTCATACGCATTCCAGGTCTTAAGTAGGTCTTGGTGCTAATGTGTCAAGATTGCAGCCATTGGTAGCAATGTTCACACGGTTGAATGTTTCCAAATATGCCTACTTTCAGTGATTATATCACCAGCATGAGCTGTAGCCATCCCCTCCTTATTGAGACTCTCCAGGATCAGTAGGTGGGTCTAGCTTAGGCATCTTTCATATTCTTTTGCCCTGGGTCCTAGTGCACATAAGATTTTGTGTGTGCTCTTGGGACTGACATCTCTTTATCTCCTAGTCCTGTGAAGATCCTGAAATTAAGCCCCACTGGCCTTCAAAGCAAAATGCTTTGAAGGGGCTCATCTTCCCAGTGCTGTACTTCTAGTGCTACTTCCCAGCTTGACATGGGGCTCAAGAACTCTTATTCCTGTGGGATAATCTGTGTAGTATAATTAGTTTCCAGTTTGTAGGTTGCCGTTCTGGGAGTTATGAAGTTTCATTATTTTGCAAGTTTGCTCCTCCTACCTGTCTCTTTGGTTCCTTCTTGATATCTTTACTTGTAGAAGATCCTTTCTGGTAAGTTTCAATCTTTTTCATGCATGGTTGTTCTGAAGATAGTTGTGATTTTGATGTGGTTGTGGGAGGAGGTGAGCTCAGGATCTCTTTACTCTTCCATATTGATAAAAGCTCTGTTCTCTAATTTCTATTTCATATTTCATCCTTTGGGTAGATATGGTTTTAGTTTGCTCCTGTTTATCTAGTTTCTGCAGGTATAAAGTTAAGTTAGGCATTTATATTACACTTTTTCTTCTGTTTTAATTGTATCTCAAATGTTTTGATATGTTACCTTTTTATCATTGTTTCAAAGTTATTATCACTAATTAGAACACTTTCTTTTCAACTAAAATAAGTCCCTTTAAAATTTCTTGTCAGATTGGTTTATTGTTGATGAACTCTTTTATCTTGTCTATAAAACTTGGAAGCTTTATCATTCAGAGTTGAAGAAGAGATATAGAATTTTTTTCCAGCATTCTGAATATATTGTGCTATTTTCTGGCCTGCAGAGTTTTTTGCTGAAAAATTGCTAATAGTCTTATAGTAGTTCCCTTGTATGTAAACCATTTTCTCTTGCGGCTCTTAGCATTGTCCTTCTACTTAACTTTTGACATTAAAATTATGTGCTTTGGAGTACTAGAAGATAGCACTCACGCTCTGAAGTGTCTGGGAAACATTACACTTAGCCAATAGATGTGCATGTAATTAGAAGTCTGCCTCTTAGGCTGCAGCCTTGATGATTATCTAAGAGGCCTCCGTAACAGAAAGACTGTTGGGACTAATAAACGAATTCAGTAAATTTGCAGGATACAAGACAAATGTACAGAAATCTGTTGTGTTTCTATACACCACTAATAAACTGTCAAAAGTAGAAATAAACAATCCCATTTACAATACATCAAAAAGAATATAATACCTAGGAATAAATTTAACCAAGGAAGTGAAAAACTCTATATTGAAAATTACAAGATACAGATGAAAGAAATTGAAGAACACCCAAACAAATGGAAAGATATTCCATGCTCATGGATTGGGAGAATCAAGGTTGTTAAAATGCCTATACTACCCAAAGCAATCTACATATTCAGTGCAATCCCTATAAAATTCCCATGGTGTTTTTCAAAGAAACAGGAAAATAATCCTTAAATTTGTTTGGAACTACAAACACCAAATAACAAAGCAATCTTGAGAAAGGAAACAAAACTGGAGTCTTCAGACTCTCTGATTTCAAACTATATTACAAAGCTATATTAATTAAAATATTATATTGACATGAAAAGATATACCCAGATCAGTGCAACAGACTATCAATAAACCCAACAGACAGAAATAACCCCAAATATATATGGTTAGTAAATTTATGACAGAGGAACCAAAAATATATGATGGAGAAAGGACAGACTTTTCAATAAATGGTATTAGGAAAACTGGACAGTGACATACAAAAGAATGAATGGATCACTGTTTTATATAATACACAAAATAAACTCAAAATGGATTAAAGACTTGAATAAAAGACCTGAAATCATAATTCTTCTTAGTAGAAGACAAAAGCACTAACTTGAAAACATATATGCACACCTGTGTTCACTGAAGCATTATTTGCCGTAGCAAAAATATGAACCAATCTGAGTATTTAGATAAATAATGATTAAATAAATTGTTATGTACATTTATCAATATAACAGAATGTTATTCAGCCTTAAGAAGAAAATGCTGCCATTTTTGGCAATATGAATGAATCTTGAGGATGTTAAAACTCAACATTGAAAAAATGAAGATCATGGCATCCGGTCCCATCACTTCATGGCAAATAGATGGGGAAACAATGGAAACAGTGAGAGAGACTTTATTTTCTTGGGCTCCAAAATCACTGCAGATGGTGGCTGCAGCCATGAAATTAAAACATGCTTGCTCCTTGGAAGAAAAGTTATGACCAACCTAGGCAGTATATTAAAAAGTAGAGATATTACTTTGCTGACAAAGTCCATCTAGTCAAAGCTATGGTTTTTCCAGTAGTCTTGTTTGGTTGTGAGAGTTGGACCATAAAGAAAGTGGAGTGCTGAAGAATTTATGCTTTGAATTGTGGTGTTGGAGAAGACTCTTGAGAGTCCCTTGGACAGCAAGGAGATCAAACCACTCAATCTAAAAGTCAATCAATCCTGAACAATCATTGGTAGGACTGATTTTGAAGCTGAAACTCCAATAGTTTGGCCACCTGATGCAAAGAGCAGACTCATTGGAAAAGACCCTGATGCTGGAAAATATTGAAGGCAGGAGAAGGGGACATCAGAGGATGAGATAGTTGGATGGCATCACCAACGCAATGGACATGAATTTGAGCAAGCTCCAGCAGTTAGTGATGGACAGGGAAGCCTGGCATGCTGCAACCCATGGAGTAGCAAAGAGTCAGACATGACTGAACGACTGAACTGAACTGAGGACATTATGTTAGTAAAATAAGCCAGGCACAGGAAGACAAATACTACATCTCAATTTTATGTGGAATCTACAATAGTCAAACCCATAGACACAGTACAGTGATGTTTGTCAGAGGTTGCAGACCAACAGAAACAGGGAAGTGTTGGTCAAAGGGTATAAAGTTTGATCTTTGTAAAGGAGTAAGTTCTGGAAATTTAATAAACAGTAGCATTACTGTAGTTAACAATATTGTATTGTAAAATTTAAATTTTCTGAGAGGGTTGATCTTATGGGCTCTTACCACACACACACACACACACACACACACACACACACACACACACGAAAAAAGAAAATGGTAACTATATGAGAGTGGATATGTTAATTAGCATGATTGTGGTAGTTATTTCACATTGCATAAGTATATCAAAACTTCAGCTTATAATTTAAGTGTATATATATGTATATATTTCAACTATGATTAAATAAGGGTGTAAATATCGAAAAAGTTTAGAATAAAAAAGTTATGAAAGTTTTCAAGTCTTTAAATGCTGTTGTTCTTTTTTCTAGCCAGAATCAACTGTTTCAGATTTAATTCCTCTTTATCTAGAAATGCATATCGTGGTAGACAAAGCTTTGGTATGTGTTTTACTTTTTCTTTGCACTTGAATATTTGATATGAATGTATGATTATCCCTAGCTAGGAAGGAACTTAAATATTCCAGTCTTCTTACTTCCATGTCACTCCCAGAGAACAGTGAAGAACCAAATATTCAAAATTGCACTAGTTCTATCAGAAATATTTTATTTGAAATATTTATGTAACAAACCTGCATAACAAAATGATTTGATTATTATTTTTCTGATAGTTCACAACTTTAGAGTCTCTCTCAGCCCACAAAATTTTTAATGGTGATATTTTTAGTGACATTCTTTAAGCTTTAATTCTTGTTTTAGGGTACTTGAAGGACAGCATGTAATCTAGAAAATGTTTGGCTAATAAGATATTTACTGGCACAGAAATAATGATGGTATAAATTTATGATAACTGCTAACATTAAAGTATCAAGATTTTTTAATGGTTTTATTCATGCAGCTGATTGAATCTAGTCTAAATGCTCCCCTAGATTACTTATTCCCATAAACAATTTGAGGACCTCTGAACTTCAAATTGTTGAGGTGATAACTCAGTTTGTTTTCAGTAAAGTGTTGCTTTATTTCTCCCATACTTCAAAGATTTCGGAAAGCAGGGATAAGACTTTTTTTCTAGATTTTTTTCCTGAAATATTTGATTATCACATCTGTGGAAAACCACAGAGAATGTGAATCATACTGATTTCCAATTCTACTTGTACATTTGTAGAACTTGTCAGGAAGTGAGTTGAGAGTTTGAGATAGGAGAGATTTAGGGAGGATATTAAAATACTTATTAAATGAGTATTAGGGAAAAGAGCAAAAGGAACATTAGGAGAAAGTTGAGATATTTTTGGTAAAGATGACTAAATTTCCAGGGAATATTTTGGTTTATGAAAATTATTTCAGGATTTAGTTCAGTTCAGTTGCTCAGTCGTGTCCGAGTCTGCAACCCCATGAACCGCAGCACGCCAGGCACCCCCGTCCATTACCAACTCCTGGAGTCCACCCAAACCCATGTCCATCGAGTCGGTGATGCCATCCAACCATCTCATCCTCTGTCTCCTTCTCCTCCTGCCCTCAATCTTTCCCAGAATCAGGGTCTTTTCCAGTGAGTCAGTTCTTTGTGTCAGGTGACCAAAGTACTGAAGTTTCAGCTTCAACGTCAGTCCTTCCAGTGAACACCCAGGACTGATCTCCTTTGGGATGGACTAGTTGGATCTCCTCACAGTCCAAGGGACTCTCAAGAGTCTTCTCCAACACCACAGTTCAAAAGCATGAATTCTTGTTTCAGGATTATGTTGTTTTAAAAGCTTCTTGTCCAAATTGCCAGATTTGCCAGTCATAAAATGCTGATTAAGCATATCTTTTCTATGTTATTACAAATATTTATATGTCCTTTAATAAGACAAATATTGAGCCAAATATGACATCTATGTTACCAGATATTGGGCATGTAAAGAAGAATAGTGATATCTTCAGTCTCTTCACAAATTTTATTTATTTATTTATTTTTTTCATTTATTTTTATTAGTTGGAGGCTAATTACTTTACATCATTGCAGTGGTTTTTGTCATACATTGAAATGAATTAGCCATGGATTTACATGTATTCCCCATCCCGGTCCCCCCTCCCACCTCCCTCTCCACCGGATCCCTCTGGGTCTTCCCAGTGCACCAGGCCCGAGCACTTGTCTCATGCACCCAACCTGGGCTGGTGATCTGTTTCACCCTAGATAATATACATATTTCGATGCTGTTCTCTTGAAACATCCCACCCTCGCCTTCTCCCAGAGTCCACAAGTCTGTTCTATACATCTGAGTCTCTTTTTCTGTTTTGCATATAGGGTTATCGTTACCATCTTTCTAAATTCCATATATATGTGTTAGTATACTGTAATGGTCTTTATCTTTCTGGCTTACTTCGCTCTGTATAATGGGCTCCAGTTTCATCCATCTCATTAGAACTGATTCAAATGAATTCTTTTTAATGGCTGAGTAATATTCCATGGTGTATATGTACCACAGCTTCCTCATCCATTCGTCTGCTGATGGGCATCTAGGTTGCTTCCATGTCCTGGCTATTATAAACAGTGCTGCGATGAACATTGGGGTGCACGTGTCTCTTTCAGATCTGGTTTCCTCGGTGTGTATGCCCAGAAGTGGGATTGCTGGGTCATATGGCAGTTCTATTTCCAGCTTTTTAAGAAATCTCCACACCGTTTTCCATAGTGGCTGTACTAATTTGCATTCCCACCAACAGTGTAAAAGGGTTCCCTTTTCTCCACACCCTCTCCAGCATTTATTGCTTGTAGACTTTTGGATAGCAGCCATCCTGACTGGTGTGTAATGGTACCTCATTGTGGTTTTGATTTGCATTTCTCTGATAATGAGTGATGTTGAGCATCTTTTCATGTGTTTTTGTGCCATCTGTATGTCTTCCTTGGAGAAATGTCTGTTCAGTTCTTTGGCCCATTTCTTGATTGGGTCATTTATTTTTCTTGAGTTGAGCTGGAGGAGTTGCTTGTATATTTTTGAGATTAATCCTTTGTCTGTTGCTTCGTTTGCTATTATTTTCTCCCAATCTGATGGCTGTCTTTTCACCTTGCTTATAGTTTCCTTTGTTGTGCAAAAGCTTTTAAGTTTCATTAAGTTCCATTTGTTTATTTTTGCTTTTGTTTCTAAAATTCTGGGATGTGGGTCATAGAGGATCCTGCTGTGATTTATGTCGGAGAGTGTTTTGCCTATGTTCTCCTCTAGGAGTTTTATAGTTTCTGGTCTTACATATAGATCTTTAATCCATTTTGAGTTTATTTTTGTGTATGGTGTTAGAAAGTGTTCTAGTTTCATTGTTTTACAGGTGGTTGACCAGTTTTCCCAGCACCACTTGTTAAAGAGGTTGTCTTTTTTCCATTGTATATCCTTGCCTCCTTTGTCAAAGATAAGGTGACCATAGGTTCGTGGATTTATCTCTGGGCTTTCTATTCTGTTCCATTGATCTATATTTCTGTCTTTGTGCCAGTACCATACTGTCTTGATGACTGTGGCTTTGTAGTATAGTCTGAAGTCAGGCAGATTGATTCCTCCAGTTCCATTCTTCTTTCTCAGGATTACTTTGGCTATTCGAGGTTTTTTGTATTTCCATACAAATTGTCTTCACAAATTTTAAATCCATAATTGTAGCCTAGTGAATTCAGTGCCAGATTGAGGGAGTCTATGGTACAATAAAATGCAGTGCAAAGTTTCCAGTTCAAGATGGCAGAGTAAAAGAACATGCACTCATCTCTTCCTGAAAGAGCACCAAAATTGTAATGAGCTGTTGAACAGCCATTGACAGGATGATGCTGGAACCCCATGTCCCAAAAAAAGATATCCCATGTCTAAAGACAAGAAGCCACAATGAGATAGTAGGAAGGGTGCAATCATGATAAAATAAAATCCTATACCTGCCAGCTAGGCCACCCACAATATGAAGAACAATAATATCAAAGAAGTTCTCCCTCTTCACTTTTGTGATGATGCTGAGCCTCACGTCAGGTTTCCCAGCGAAGAGATCTGGCAAAGGGACTGGGAATCCCCACAGAACCTGACTTTGAAGGCAGCAGGAATTGATTATAGGATTTCTACAGGACTGAGGGAAACAGAGACTCCACTCTTGGACGGCATAAACAAAGTTTTCCATATACCAAGACCCAAGGGAAAGGAGCAGGACCTCACAGGAAACTGAAACAGACCTACCTGCTAGTGTTGGAGGGTCTCCTGTGGAGGAATGGCTCAGCAGTGGCTTCCGCAGGGATAGGGCACTGGCAGCAGCAGTCCTGGAAAATGCCTCTTGGCGTAAGTCCTTTTGGAGGTTGCCATTAACCCCACATAGAGTTCATAGACCCCAGGGCTGGGTTGCCACAAGCCAGACAACTAACAGGGAGGACAACTCCACCCATCAGCGAATAATTGGATTAAAGTTTTAATGAGCATGGCCCTGCCCACCAGAACAAGACCCAGTTTCTCTCACTGCCAGTCCCTCCCATTAGGAAGCTTACATAAGCCTCTTAGCCTCATCTACCAGAAGGCAGATAGAAGAAGCAAGAAGAATCACACTCCTACAATGGCTGGAATAAAAGCCACATTACAGAAGTTAACTCAGAATGAAAAAGCAGAACGTTATGTCTCAGATGAAGGGATAAGAAAAAACTCCAGAAAAACAACTATATGAAGTGGAGATAGGCAACCTTCCAGAAAAAGAATTCAGAATGGTGATAGTGAAGATGATCCAGGATCTTGGAAAAAGAATGAAGATGCAAAAAATATTTACCAAAGGCCTAGAAGAACTAAAGAAAAAAATGAACAGAGATAACAATGCATTAGAGATGAAGAATCAATAGCAGAATAACTGAGGCAGAGGACCGGATAAGTGACCTGGAGAACAGAATGGTGGAAATCACTGCTGCAGAAAAGAATACAGAAAAAATAATGAAAAAAATGAAGACAGCCTATCTATGAGACGCCTGGGACAACATTAAACCCATGAGCAGTCACATCACAGGGGTTCTGGAAGGAGAAGAGAGAAAGGACCTGAGAAAATATTTGAAGAATAATAGATGAAAATTTCCCTAACATGGGAAAGGGTATAGTCAACCAAGTCCAGGAAGCACAAAGAGTCCCAGGCAAGATAAACCCGAGGAAGAACACACTGAGACACATAGTAATCAAAATGACAAAAATTAAAGACACAGATTAAGTATTAAAAGCAACAAGGAAAAAAGGACAAATAACATACAAGGGAACTCCCATAAAATTATCAGCTGATTTCTCAACAGAAATCTGGTTTTCTCTACAAGCCAGAATGAATGGTGCAATATATTTGAAGTGATAAAAGGAAAAAACCTACAACCAAGAATACTCTACCCAGCAAGACTCTTTTTCAGATTTGATGGAGAAATCAAAAGCTTTCCAGACAAGCAAGATTTAAGAAAATTCCGCACCATCAAACCAACGTTACAACAAATG